TAATCGATGCAGTTTTATGTGCAGAAAATTGGAACACACTCCAAGATGACCTCTCTTGCAGTTTCTAGCTGGGGTTTATTTGGTTTGTTTAAAGGGACATCCTATCCTGTGGATCTAGGTCACTTAGTTCAGCTGTCATGAATATGACATGACTGGTTATGTATGTATGATTCCTTTGATGACAATAAGAGGTTAACTTTAGTGTTGTCAGCTCTCAACATACTCTCAGTGAACTCTGTGTGAGTCATAGATGACCTTTGAGGTCCCTTCCAACCCAAACAGTTCTATAAGTCTGTGATTCTAATAGTGGAAGTGGTTCCAATGTACAGAGTAATACTGTAGTTTTGCAACTCATCTCCATGTGCTTGACTTCAACCCAAACAGTTCTATAAGTCTGTGATTCTAATAGTGGAAGTGGTTCCAATGTACAGAGTAATACTGTAGTTTTGCAACTCATCTCCATGTGCTTGACTTCAACCCAAACAGTTCTATAAGTCTGTGATTCTAATAGTGGAAGTGGTTCCAATGTACAGAGTAATACTGTAGTTTTGCAACTCATCTCCATGTGCTTGACTTCAACCCAAACAGTTCTATAAGTCTGTGATTCTAATAGTGGAAGTGGTTCCAATGTACAGAGTAATACTGTAGTTTTGCAAGTCATCTCCATGTGCTTGACTTCATTAGCATGAGTAATTCCATGAAAGTCAGCGGGATGACAATAATGATGGTGTTAAGCTTGGTGTAAGTTTTAGAACATCAGAACCTCAAGTAGCTCTCGGTACACGTTGGGTGAAGGCCCACATCATTCCTTAGTTCATTCCAAACGCATTCTTTGGCAGTCACAGGCCATTAAAAAACAGATTTTTGACATCGCTTATGTTAAAAGACAGTTACTTAATTTACATAGGGTGTAATAGCATATTTTAAGTGTTTTTGTGGCAGGAAGTGGATTTTAATTTGTTTCAGTTACGTTTCTCATTTGTATATTACGTGGTTTCTTGATTATTCCCATAATGCCAAATGCCTTACAGATAAAGAAGAAAAGGTCTTTCCTCTGACATGTCCCTAAGCTAAATTGATGTGTGCTGTATCTCACACTTACCTTGTGGCCCCTCTTGTAGCCTAACACCATGGTTTAGTCTTTAAGCCCTTTACCTTCGTTGTTAATATGTTGTTTGCTCCAGAGCAGGAGAGACTGACATATTCAGTGTGTTATGACGTAAGTTCATATGCAGCATGATTAGGGCAAGTTGCTGCTTTCTCCTCTCCCCCACCTTTGTTTTAATTATTATTATTTATATGAAAATACCAGGTAGCCAACATAAAAAACAAACAGATGTGTGTGTATGTAAAAAGAAAACACAACTGGGTCATGTAGAAGAGAAGCTGAGACTCTAAGCTCCTATAACTTGACTCTTAAGATAATGTACACTAGAATGCACATGTATTTCTCAACTAATGCATGGTGTTCACGTACTGATCAGTGATTTTTTTATTTTGAAGCCTGATGATGCCTCTAAAGCAAACATTAAATAACAGAAGAACATTAAATAACACATTTGTCCTCCAGTCAGAAGGCGGAATTGGAGGCCTGTGCTCTATCCTCTTAACTGCTTCCTCAGTGCACTGCAGAAACGACTCCTCAGGCTTTCACATTGAGGTGCCTCAAGGCTCCTTCCAGTTTCTCCTCAGTTTCACAGCAATAGCTTCTCCCTGTCCCCCAGTTCAGCTCGATGCTATTTCTAAGAGAGAGCTGTAAAACTCTTGCTGGAGTGAAATCACTTCCTGCATTCATTTGCAAGAGCAACAGATTTTTATTTCACTGCTAAAGTGTGCTGTTCAGGACTAAACCCACAGTTTTAATCGCTATGTATTTGTCTAGCTTTCAGTCAGTCTCTACTAATACTGACTTTAAGGTAACTTGTCAAACTAATCCCTCTGTTAAGTAACAGCTTGCTGTTCCTGTTACTGTTTCATTACTTTACTTTGGGAAACAGAACCTCAGGGTGTGGGGGAAGAAAAAGGCTCAGAGTCTAGACAAAAAATCCTGAAAGTCTGTGTTCAGGACTAGCCAAGTTGTTACTGCACCTGATGTGTCAAGTCTAAGACTTTTGTTGGAAAACTGACGACCTAAATTACTGTTTTCTTGTTTTTTTAATGCAGTTGGATGTTACTGACAACTAAACTTTGTTGTCAGGTGGGTGGTGAGTCGCTGGCGCAAGTTGCCCAAAAAAGTGGTGAATGCCCCATCCCTGGCAGTGTTGAAGGCCAGGTTGCACAGAGCCTTGGGGTGACATGGGCTAGTGGAAGATGTCCCTGCCCATGACAGGGGTTTGGAACTAGATGATCTCAAGGTCCTTTCCAACCCAAACCAGTCTGAGATTCTACGATTCTTTAATTAAGTCAGCTTTATTTTGAGTTGGCAAACCAGCATAATAATTTTAATATGATTATTAAATTATGCAGGGAAGGTTAACCTGTTTCCTTGGGGGAGGAATTGATGCTTTAAAATACTCTGCAAATGTATGAATACATAAGTGTCCTCACAGAAATTGTGAGAAACTGGGGAGAAAGTAGGGATTTATTAGTAGGGATAGATTTATCTGATGTTAGACCACCAGATTGTTTGGGTCATCACTGTTTCTCCCTAAGTATCAGGAGTCATGAGGCTCATTTATAGCTGTGGTTAAAATACGAAGTAATTGCTATGTGGTATATGAATTTCATGAATGAGGAGAAGGGATTGGGTGACTTTTGAGTTTGTTTTGGTTTTCTCACCAAAGTAAATGAGCTCCTCACATGCTCATTTTCACCTTGATTTTTCTGTTCTGTGTGATGTATTTATACATATGATTGTGCTTTAATATTAATGCATGTGGCTTTCTTCACATTCATAAAATAACTTAAACTCACTTGGCAGCATACTAAATGCTCAGAGCAGAAATAAAAGAAACTACCTAACTCTCCTAGTTTTAGCTAGAAAACAAATACTGTAAATGGTCTGGCTCATCCACTTCTGTGCACCTAGAAACTTTGTGGTCCTGGCTTTTGCTTCTCACTGTACCAACAGCACTTCCAGTCACCTCTATTCTATATCACTCGCACTAACACGCGTGAGCTCATCACTTCTGTGCTTCAATGTAATTAATTGTCCTGCTCATTCATAACCTTCATCTTTGGCTGTGAAAGACTAATTGTCCTCTTATGAATTTGGTCCTCTTGAAATAACAACTAGAAGGCAAGTATGTTGAAGATGTCCCTGCACATTGCAGGGGGTTGGACTAGATGACCTTTGAAAGTCCCTTCCAACCTAAACTATTCTATGATCTCCTTCCCTGTCTAGGCAGGGGCAATAGCACCTCTGTTTAGGTTGGTGTTATGCAAATAGAGCTTTCTCCTTGTGCTTGACAGAACTTTGCCATAAAAAGAGATTGGGAGATGTTTAAGGTCATAAGTACTTTTGTGATCCTCTCACTATATTTTCTGCAAAATTTACCCATTTTCTATAGGCAACAGTGTCACTTTTTAAACAATTGAACATAAAAATAGCTTCAGTAGAACTCTTGGGGCAGAAAACATAATTAATGGTGAACACTGTTTCCCTTTCTCTGAAGTAAAACAGAAAATGCACGCTCTTTTTTGCAAAGTAGAATAATCCGTACGGGTTGAAATAGGAGGAGGCTGAACCCTTCTGTTCAGGTATATATAATTTGGTGTATTTGGTAATAAAGTTATTGTAGCCATTTATGTAGAGGTTGTAGTGGTTTAGAGCACTGTGCAAATGCTCTGTGAAGCAGTGTCTTTGGAAGAACTTACTGGGTTTACAAAGAGCCGCTTTCAAGGCATAGCATTCTGGGTGTGCTGTTACATTGAGTGGTATACGTTCACAGGGCAGCTTGATTGATCCCCTGCCAAAGTCTTACAAGCACCTTTCTTGTTTTCCTAAATGCCTACTTTTGGTGGGAATTGCATTGAAGGAGACATGCATACCTGGAGTAGTGCAGTTTCTGGCTTCAAGATCACAGAATCAACTAGTTTGGACCTTACCTTCTGGATCGACAAATCCTCTTGCAGAGATGGAGAGGACAGAGTAATGGCAGCAAATGTCATTTTAGTGCCCTTATTACAGTGGAGTGGGGTTAGCTAGAAGTGTTAAGGGGAGGTGAAACAAATGCTCTTAGGGGATGCCATTCAGGGCCAGGTTGGAGGGGGCTTGGAGCTACGTGCTCTAGTGGAAGATGCCCATGACAGGGGGTTGGAACTGGGTGATCTTTAAGATCCCTTCCAATCCAAACCATTCTATGATTCTGTGATGGAGCAAAGGTGGTGGGAGAAGCATGGCAAAGCAGAAGACTTACAAGGGACATAAGGTCAAAAGAGGAGGTGAGAGTGGAAGATAGCTGTTGTTTGGGAAGAAGTCCTCCAGCCAAGACTAGAAATTCATTTCAAGATCTTTGCTTGCATTGCTTCTCTACCAGTTCCCGCCACTATAACTTTGCAGTGGTTAGGTTTTGCAGTTTTACCCCAAAGCTGTGAGTCAATGCATAAGGAGAAAGGAAACTTCTTCCACTTGCCAAGCTTCCCAGTATCTGTAGGAGAGACTCTTCTCTTCCCCAGGTCTGAGGCAGCAAAACGGGACCCTGCCAGCTGTGCCAGGTCTTTCCTTTTTGACTCACATGAAGTGTCCAGGTCTTGCTTCAGTTCCTGCAGTGGCAGCTCCTGTTGGCACCTACCTTATCATTTTCTCTTCATTAAAACACTTGTTGTGTTTCCTCTGGGAGGGTGGAGGTGGCACATGGGTGGACTTCATGTGTAATTAAGCAAGTCTTAAAAGCACTTAGAGAGTCTTCCGAGTAAGAAGTGTTCTGATAAGCACAGGAGTCTGATTTCCAAATACCTTATTTTGTGCTTGATTTATTTACCTTTGTTGCTTTTTCAACTCCCTTTCTGCAACGTGGAATTTCCCACATTGTGAGAACAGAGGTCTGCATGTCTTGCAAAGCAGTGACCGCTGTTTCTGACTCTCTTTCAGATGCAAGTATGGACATAATAGCCTATGATGCTTACTCCAGTCCACCGCTCCCGAGATATTGAAAGGAAACCTGAATACCTCCAGCCAGAAAAGTGTGTCCCACCTCCTAGCCACGCTTCCCTGGGAACAATGTGGTTTATTCGAGATGGCTGTGGTATTGCATGTGCTGTCGTTACCTGGATGCTGGTGTTCTATGCCGACTTTGTAGTCCTCCTTGTCATGCTAGTTCCATCGAGAGATTATGTTTATAGTGTCATCAATGGCACACTGTTCAACACCTTGGCTTTCCTCGCTTTGGCTTCACATTTTCGTGCTATGCTGACAGATCCAGTAAGTATATCTCTCTCTCTAATGTCTCGGAAAAAAGCAGGCAGTGTTTTTCTTGTCTGCTACATGTTGGGGAACTCAGTTGCTGAGTGAGTGGCAGATTTAAATAACTTTTGTGTGTCACCCTACAGAGTGAGGCTGCTGATGCGGTATGCTAATTTCTCCTCCCACTCAAGTCAGATGCAAAGGACTCAGCTTTAGATTCTTACTGTGTGCGCAGCTCCTCTCTTTTTGCCCTGGGAAGGAAAGTGTTTGCCCTAGGAAGGAGAGTGTTTTGCTCTGACACTATTTTTTACCCAGTAGCAGATCTGGTGTGTGTGTGTGTGTGGCTTGTCCTGTCTTGACAAACAGGCAAGCTGGAAAAGCTGGTTTTGGTTGTCTGCCTTGGCAAGTATTGCTTCACCAGAGTGCAGCAGGATGTGTATTGGTTTGAAAAGCCATATTACCATCTCTTATACTAGTGATTTAGTTGAGTGTATTGGACCATGCTGAAATAAATACTATGCGAGCATGCTAAAGAGTTGACAGTTCTAGGTGAGAGGGAAGCATCTGAGTTCTAAGATCCTCTCAGATGTCTCTGTAAGACACTGCTCTGTGAGAGAGCTGTTCTGCTCCTTTCTTGTCTTTCAGCTAGTGAGAAGATAGAATTTAGTACCACAACACTTACTGGCTGGCCTGTGATGGTGTAGTTGCTTAATAACCACAGGAGAGTAGGTTCAGCTCAAAACGCCATCTCCACTAGTCAGTGGAAGGAAAACCCTGCTTAGACTACTCTTAGCCCCTTCCTCCTGAGTGTTCTTGATGCTGTTGGGACAGCGTGTGCCTCTGATACTCTAATTATTCCTTCCAAACATCATTTCCTACTTGAAATCTTGTTAGGTGCCATTAAAACTTCAGCGTCATCATTGTTTGTTAGTTTCCAGCAATCCCAGAAGCCACAGCACTTCAGAAATGGCTTGCTTCGGGGTAATTTCACAGTTTATGGTAAAGACTGATGACTTGCATGTTACTGCTGCTGGGCAGAACTGTAAGCAGTACTTGAGGCTCTGAAAGTGCTGCTCATCGGACTCTGGCATAGAGGATTGCAGCAATTTGTTACATACTTTGTATCCTGGGGCGTCTTTCTTGCTGTTAATAATTGTGTATTGTGTACCTTTAACGCCTGGGGACCTTCAGGTCACTGGAATTATTCTGCAGAGTTAGCAGGAACTCTGCTGAAACAAAAGCTGCATTCTGAAGCAGACTGGGCAAGCAGTGTTGGAGCAGCAGATGCAATCTCTGTGCAGAGTAAATGGGAAGAGATATGTGAATTCCTAGTCTGTGGTGGAATTTATGTGTGTGGATGGTTAGAAGCAGTGGGATTCTTTTTTTTTAATGAGGAAATCAGCTAAAAAAATAGGGAGGAGGGAAGATAAAGTGAGGGGGTGCAGCAACATCTGGCAGTGCGAGTCAGGGATGAAAGAAGCTGAAGGGACATGGGGAACCTAAGGGCATGTCTGGGATCAGAGTTAAACAGAAAACACTGCTGAGGCAAACAAATACAATTCGAATTATAAGTAAATGAACACATCAGTCCTTCACAATTGATAGCCTGTGGCATGCTTTTCAGGAACTGCTTCCTGTGGGTTCTTGCTAAAACATTCCTAAGGTTTTGAGCTTTGCTGCATACAACTGCCTGACGGGTAGGATGGAGAGAGGAGGTGACTGATTTCTTCTCCCGAGTAACAAGCAATAGGACAAGAGAAAACGGCCTCAAGCTGCACCAGGGGAGGTTTAGACTGGAGATGAAGAACAATTTCTTTCCCCAGAGGGTGCTCAGGCATTGGAACAGACTGCCCAGGGCAGTGCTGGAGTCACCGTCCCTGCAAGTGTTCACACCCTGTGTAGACGAGGCCCTCAGTGCCATGGGTTGGTGGTGGCCTTGGCAGTGCTGGGCAACAGTTGGACTGGAGGAGCTTAAAGGTCTTTTCCAGCCTGGTTGATTCTATGATTCTATACTAAAGACAGATAATCTGAGTTGTAGCATTTTGTGGAAATGGGTCTTGATAATTTTTAAATTGGTCAGGCCTGTTTGGGAGGTTTTTGTTGCAAAACCCAAAGACTGCTCAAGAAAGCCTTATGGTACTGCTTTAATGTGCAGTTCTTTCATTGCTGTGTATTATTCCTATTGTTGCTGTTAGGAGGTTGCACAGATGGGTAAAAAAGAAACACTTCCATCAGAAACTTGTTAAAATATTACATCCCTGCTTTTATTTCAGTATAAAAGCCTTACATCCACAGAGGTCCATTTGTGCCAGTGTACCAGCACTGATTTCATACAGTACATTTCATGACTTTTGGGGGGGATGTTTGTGGCTTTGGGGGGTGTGTGTGGTTTTGGGGTGTTTCTTTAGCAAATATACAGCCCTAGAAAATCTGGAAACTTTTGAACCCAGACTCCTGCAACAGAAATGCATAACCTGTCTAGAAACACACTTTTTAAAGTGGGAATTGCACAGCCTGAGAATGTTTTACCTAGGCTTATTCAGGTGGGAGGATTCTTAATGTTCACTGCTTGAATGTTAAACCCTAATTTAAATAACAAATGCCCCATGGAAGCATAGCTATAAATACATGAGGTGTTTACCAGCAACTCTTGGTGTACACAATGGTACTTCAGAAGTAGCTGTTTCTATTGGAATAAAACATCTGTGGCTTCCAGTTTGTGATATAAAGCACTGGCATGATGGATTTATTGATGGATGCGAAGAGAGGGATGAGGATTCTTAAATATTTTAAGGTTACTATAGGATTACAAAAGCCTAATTGCTTAAGTGATGATTTACTGATGTTTAAACCAAAACTATGTTTAAGTATGTGGTTTCATGGATTAGAGCCTCATTTTAATTTCTTTTCTGAATCTTCTTGCTCTTCTTGAAAGTCTGTTGATCTTAGGGAAGTTTTTATTCTTTCTCTTCCACCTCCTCCCATAGTTTTAAGTCATCCTTTTGTTCTTAGCACTTAAAATGTCCATAGGTTAATCTTCTGGTTTGTTCTGTTTCTTTTCTTTCTGCAGGGTGCTGTACCCAAAGGTAATGCCACAAAGGAGTTCATCGAGAGTTTACAGCTAAAGCCAGGACAGGTGGTTTACAAGTGCCCAAAGTGTTGTAGCATCAAACCTGACAGAGCACATCACTGCAGGTAAAGGCTTTTCTGAGGACTGATCTTTTATCAAGACCTCAGGAATTACCCAGTGGGCCTTGATCTTAGTTGCTTTTGGAGTCCGAGAGTGGAGTGGTTTGAATTGAGAGATTGGCATCCAGATTCTGTTGCCAATAGTGCCAGACACTGGAAAAATTGTCAGGCCTTCTCTGACAAGTTTTCATCCAGAGCAGCCTGGGGTCACTTCTTGCAAAGTGAGAAGCACTCGAATGCTGCCTTGACTCCAGACCTATATTTGACATTCCATACATTTACATGTAAAGGTGACTTAAAAGGAGACATTTTATACCAGCATGCATAGAAACCCATGAAATGTAATGTCTCTCAAAGGTCAATGTCCTTTCTATGTTTGTTTTTTTCACCTATTTAACGGTAGATTCTATTTAGAATTGAGGTTTAAGTTAAAACTAACGTTCAGGTAACTGTATATCTTTTATGAGTTCTGACTTAACATTTCCAGTAAGTACTGTGACTTTGTGCTCTGCGATAGATCAGTAGCTACCAATCTGTCATGTCCTTTCTTTTCCTGGTAAGATAAACTTCCCTGAAGAGAGTAACTGATAGGAAGCTTTTTACTACTAAAGGCAGTGAGCAAAAAGAATTAACTACTTCCTAAAATTCTCTTCTGCTTTTAAAGCAAGTGAACCTGCTTTTCCATAAGCAGTCAATGAGTTTGCCCTGGTATCCCTTCCTAACCTCCTCCAAAACCAATACATGCTGAGAAAGCTATCAGGCTTACTGCTCATTCATGCAGGGGTCTTCTGAGGAGGGGAATGTGTGGTACTGAGCTTAACAAATGTGTTCCACTGTTTGCATTTTTCATGTTTATTTTCAGAACTTTAGTTTGCAAATGGGATTTTTTTGGTGGTTATTTTTTAATCAAAATCAGGAGTTGGTTCTTCAGCAGGG